CGCTGGCCCTAGCGGCTGCGGCGCGCGCGGTAAGGAGAGGAAAGGAGGCGTATACCGCGGAAATCGGCTGAACTGTGCAACTATATAATTCCGAGCGCTGGATTAAAACAAAAAATTTTGATTTTTTGAACCGGTCATACGAGGCTCCCCCCTTAAATTCGCGCGAATTGGTCGATATTTTTAAATTAATTTCTCATTAATTATTAAAATCGCAAAACGGTATAGGACTTTTTTACTCGCTTTAACCCACTCTACCTGTACACGAGAGGTGATTTACCTTGTGCGGGACACCCTGTATATCGGCAATAATACCGAACAGAGCTTGGCATAATCTGCACATTTCGGCCGATTTTCGTAAACTAACGTCTACTGGCTCCCCACTATCTCTTGAGACAACGCATAGGGCGCTCTGCCTCAGATACAACGCATCTGTAACGCGATGAGATTCCATGCTCCCTGACTCCCAAGTATCAATATTTTAAACACTATCTAATAAAATAAACGTTTTTAATAAAAACGTCTTATTCAATTTGAATTAACAATTATTTATTTATTTATAAATTGAAAAGAGTTTCTGGAACATTTAACAAATCCAATCTATCGAATATAATTTAATAATATTTTAGGATTCTTGTATCGTAAATGTAATAATCAAGAATTTTGAAACTTTGTTATTGAATAAATTATTAAAAAAAAAGATTTTAAAGATCGAGTTTAAAGTATTGATATTTGGCAATCAGGGGACATCAAACCTCATCGTGTTACAAACGCATCGTACTTGAGGCAAAGCCCCACGTGCGTTGTCTCAAGACGTAGTGGGGAGTCGGTAGGCGTTAGCTTACGAAAATCGACCGAAATGTGCAAATTGCGCCAAGCTCTGATATCGAATAAGCGCGTATTCGCCCAGCCTACTGCTAAATGCGCGGCGAGATACGACCGCCCAGCGATCATGATCGCAAAGCGCGTGGGGAGTTGTTTATTACAAGCAGCAAAGCTCGTTCTGAGATATAATTGTCTCTCGTTCTTTTTATTGTATCTCGCCGCGTGCTTGTATTCGGAAGTTGGCTGGGCGGATACACCTCTGTGAAGTTGGCCCCCCATTTTTCAAAATTGAAAAAAATGATTACAGTTCTGGATGCCCCCTAAAAAATTCTAGAGTTTTCAGACCATTTTAGAAAGAGTTCTGCCATTTAAAATAAAGAAAACACCATTTGAAAAATCGGGGGGCTAACTTCACGACGCCCCTTATTATGTAAAAAATCCAAATTTTTTTATAGTTCTGAGTAGATTTCAAATAGTTCTATAGTTCTAGATAAGTTTCAAAAATAGTTCTGCTTGAAATACTACGTAAATTAAATTTGAAATTCTCGACTTAGAAAACGAAAAATAGCGAAAACTCATTCAATTTTGATTTTAGCGTTTCGAGCCTTAAAGATAATCGTTAGAATTCGTGAGGGGCTATACAGAACTCTCAACAAAAACTGCCGGTTACCAAAAAAAAATTTTTTTTCCTGTAGGACTTAGAAATTTTTCTAATCCGAAACTTCAACAATCGAGAACTTTTTTATTTCGCCTCTGAGCGCTTCGAGTGTTAATAATTATCGCTAGAACTCTTCGGGAGGCGTCCAGAACTCTCAACAGAAATGCGGGTTATCGAGAAAAATTTTTATAAAGTAACACAATATCAAAGTTATACTTTTTCGTTTAATAATGTAACTAATTAACTAATATATATTGTTACGTCCTAACCTGGAGGGAAAGGGGCGGGTCAAGTATACGGACGGACGCAACAATAAAAGTATAAATTTGTGGTGTTTGCTCGCTGGTCGGTTTGAGAGGAGGCGACCGCGCGAGCCGAACGATTTCCCTTGGCTGAGAACAGGTCAACGATCGTAATGATCGATATTACGCTGTTAGAGGCCTCAACCAATCGTTCGTGGTTCCCTTTTCTGGTCAAGAGAATTAACTCCTTTTACCAAGGGCGGAACCTCGTGCAAATTTTCAAAAGGAGAGGGAGGGGGGGGTAGAAGAGG